CCCCAAAACCCCAAAACCCCAAAACCCCAAAACCCCATTAGAAGAAGTTAGGTGAGAAAAAAAGTTGATAACAAAGTAATTATTTGAAATAAAGTGATGATATTAATTTGACACTTTGTAAAAACTATGCGAGGCTTCATCTCCTCATCAATTACTAGTCCTATGGATCTTCTTTGTATGATTCACAAATCATATCCATAGACTTCAATTCATATTTAGTTGGAGTATAAAGGTTGAATTAAGTAGAGTTAGTGGTAGATGCAGTATAGTGAGTGAAAAGGCACTAAGTAGAGTGATTGTTGGTGCCACTGCAGCTCATTGTAATCTTGGTATCTTGGATATCATTTGTAGAGGCCGATGGGGATTGATGCTCATCTTGTCCTAGGGAATCTTAAGGAGGAGGGGATATAGATATATCCTAAGGAGGTTGCTGCTAGTAGAAATTAATGTTGAATTAAGAGTTCATTTAGTTATTCTCATCAAATTAGAACTAGTCTTGATCCTCCTCAATCTCATCGTCCAGAGTTATGAAGTCAAATGCTCTTTGAGTTGTTTAAAGATCTTAATTAAAAAATCTTTCATTATTTGGGTTTGTCTCTAAAAAGGTTCAGCAAATTGAGTAACTTACATTTATCTACAGAATGATTATCGCTGTTTGAGAGCTCGGAGAACTAAGAACCCTGCACCTTGAACTCGTCAGTGTGCTATTTAACCTTTGGGTTCTTACTATTCAGTGATTGAGAACATATGCTTTAGGCTTTTGAACTTGAGCCCCCGCCATTTTCTTTCTTCAAAGTATTGCTTCTCAAAAACTCTTGCTGGAATTGTTAAAGCTTGTTCTTGTAGGAAACAGGCTGAGCTGTGACTTGTCTCTCATAGTTTTTGTTCTTTAACTTCTTGATGCTATCTATGTCAGAACCGAAGCTAATATTTTTCTGCACTTTTTTCTTATCATCGTCTGTGTTTTCATATTCAATCTCAATAGTTTTCAGGACCCCTTAGAAGAACTGTTAACTAGTAACCTCATCATCCTCCTCCTCTTCATAGTCTTCTTCAAAGAAGCTGTTGTTAGATTTGTGATCAATCTTAGATGGCTTTTCATGCGTGTGTGCGGTGCCATCATGGGCATGCCATAGGGAGCTTCGCAAAGTTGTTACAGTCATTTACTATGTAAATGGTGTCTCATGTAGTATCGATTTTTAAGTTTAGAATGACTATTAACTTGTTTATTAAGGTTATTAAGCAAGTTCCTCCTGTATTCACTGAGGAGATATTTATTATGATATCATTTACACGGGTGCAGCAATTACTTAATACTGTTAGTAGCTCTAAGTTTGAATCATCTTGGATACTGGTGGTGGTGCAAAAGATGGGTTGATTTTTAGCTCGTTCTTGTAGATCAATAAAGTCATTCTTTCTGAGGGAACAACTCCTTTCTCGTCAATGTACTCTAATATCTCATTTGGAACTTGGTAATCCTTGAAAGATTAAATCAGATGCTGGAAGTTCAAACTAAATAAGCCATAGTTAGCTAACAGCTCTTTCAGATGATTAACGTTATTGATAACAAGATTAGTCTGGTTAATTTAATGGAGTTGTTCCATAGCTCCCCTTGCCTTTGGGGTCATAACCTATTACTTCTAATCCTCAGTGACAGCCCTTCTATCCATATCAGAGTGGTAGAATGGGCATTAGTGAATCTATCCACACTTAACTTCTTAGCAAGGCTTTGTTTTATAGTGATATGGGTGATACTCTTGCTCTTTCCAGCCATGGGATCTTAGACAGGCCGCTTATAATATGCAGCCTTCTTCATACTTGCTGATAAAGGTGCCAGCTTTCCAGTTAGGGCAAAGATCATTGGAATCATAGTTGAACAAATGCGGCTTTCTTCTGAAGTCCTACCAGTTGTGTGCGTAGTCGCATTAAGCCTTATTATGTTCTTTGTTGAAGGGACACCATTCTGTCTTGAAGTAGAACTGGTAAAAATCAGAATCTTTTTACATGAAGTGAATGATTCTGGTCTTGATATCTTTTTACGAATGAGCGAAAGAACAGTACTCTCCGTATTCACATTAAGCTAGTTGCTTTGGGAATTTGGTGCAGAATTTCGTCTTATACTTTTCTATGTGATAAAGTCTTTCAACGCGATTATGAGACAGCTTACATGTATCTTTATTTGGGCATTTATCAGTCTCTGAATACTCACATAAATCCGGAGTATAGTAGTCCAATTTTCTCCTTTTATCTTTAATTGTATGATAGAACCTGCAATGCTTATGGTTATGTTGATGTTGAATATTGCAGGGATCCGTTTTGAAATTGCTTAAAATTAGATGTCTTATTATTTCATTTCCTTGTTAATGGATGATCTCAAATGTTTGTCCATGAGCTGACTTGTGGCCCCCGTATTTACTTTGAGGATATGGCTAAGATATATCAGTTTAGTAATTGCTATTGTGCTGTTAGAGTGGTCTTGTTTGATACTGAAGGGGCTATTGGCTTGGGTAGTAATTATTATTTAATATAGGTTACTGCTAGCTGGTAGTTAGAGGAAGTTAAGAAATATTTTATTTGTTGATTGGAATAAATGGCTTGATTGTCAAAATATTTTGATTGTTAAATTGAGGTTATTGCTGAATCGTACTCTGTTGTTAATAATAGTGCATGTTCATTTTATAGCTTTGCATGCTTTGTTCTTAGTAGAGAGCATTTTGAGATTGGTTTTAAGAATAGTCTTGTTAAATTATACCCATTGTCTGAACATACTGCTTATCAGAAAACTGGCTATTCATGGTGTTCATATCCATCGGCTAGGAATTTTTAGCCAAAAATCCACCAGGATATTAATTCATGTAATATGGAGACAAGTTATTTATGCTATTAAAGTCTTATTTTTCATATGCTTTGTGTTCTGTGGCAGCTAAGCCTTAAGAAGAAGATTATAGGTTATGATTTTCATTCATGTTGGTCTAAGTTTGGCCTGATGCTTGCCTTTCTTATTCAAAGGAGTGATCTCTGGGTGAAGTTTCTTGATATTTTGTAGCATTTAGCCTTACTTATGAAGGCTCATGATATTTGCAGCAAGTTTATATCAGGATTTACTTTGATTGGATATTGTTAATTTCCTCCCCTTGGCTGTTTTTCATATAGTGATCTGGATTATCGCAAGGCTCAGTGCGATATCTACGAACATGATAGTTCTCCTCGAAATGATTGTGGGAGTATTTACACTCATCTGGGCATTGTTTAGTCAACAATTGATGCTAAAGAATGTTTGAGCATATCTGATCCGAATATCTGAGTAGGCCTTAAAAGTTGAACAAGGATCTTCTACGATCGAAGTTGCCATGATATGAGTAGCACTCATTCGCATACTTTTGAGGTTGCTGCAAATGCTATTGATCTTCGCATTTGCTGGTCTTAAAATTGGTCATCATTAGTTGGTCTTCAGGTTTTTCCCTGAGTTGAAACTCTTGATATACGTGAAACATATAATTTTATATTCAATTCGGTAATATTTTAACAAATAGTCCGTATATTAAAAAATTATAAAAATCTCATGCTTTCTCATTATCATTATCACCATCTTAAAGAAAATCTTACACTATGGGGTTTTGGGGTTTTGGGGTTTTGGGG